GTAGATACCAAAATCTGCAGCTTTAGGGTTCTAGTAGGGCATCGCTGCCATCATCAACATTTCTTAAACCTACAAAAGCATTTGTAATTTAGCAAACAGATTTCAAAATTGCACCAACATAAATATACATATTTGACTAAGAAGAGTACTTTGCCATGGGGCTACATGCTAACCCATGTGTTTTAATGTACTAAGTGTTACTGGAAATGGACTGAGGCTTCACATTCTTTAACTCAGTGTTTTAATTGAGTCATCAACTGCAGATCTCAGTTTTGGGAAGCCTCCTCTCAGGGCGAGGGACACTGCTCTGTCTGGGAGCACCAGCCTGCCCAGTTGCGCAGGAGGAAATGAAGCGCCGGTCCCGCGTCCCCCACGCACCTCTTGCTTCAAGCACTTGGCACGGGCACACGGAGGCACCGGAGCCGTGTGAGAGGAGGAAGAGAGGCAACTGCTGCTGGCATGGACTTTCTGCAATCCTTTAGTCATTTCCAGTATGACTAAATCAGAAAGATTGAGACCTCTGACCAAATCACAGCATAGCATTAAAAATCCTGAAACTTATGCATGGGTTGACACTTGCATATACCTTGATGCTAAATGCTTCAACCGTCACTCCAGAACGTGGAGAAGTCAGTGAGGTCATTTGTACCTACCTTGCCTAATGCATGCTCCATTCCACAAGGCAATAACGCCTAAACCTGTGGACCTCAGACAAATCCTTCTCAGTAACCAAGGATAAGAGGGCAGCAAGCAGCTACAAATTTGCAGATGAAGGAGAATTATAGGAGTCTGTACTTGACCTTTTAATAAGTTGTAGCATTGCTTGACCCTGTCCTGCACTTCTGTGTTATTGTAAGAGCTGAGTGCCTGGAGGTCACGTAAGAACAGAGCTGTTAGGTAATACTGGAAGAAACAAGCAACGTTTTTCCGTTATTGGACTGACAGCCAATGAAACAAGCATTCAGAGTTTTGCACAGGAATCATTCATCCGTTTCTCTCAGAAAATTCTGAAATTGCAGATTACCAACTTCCCCTATAAGCAGCCAAGAGATGCTTATAGACAGAAAATATCTAGCAAGTTCCATTCATGTTAGCAATTTGCAGACATGCAAGCATCAGATGAGGAAGTCACCCCATTACTTTTGATAATACTAATAACTCTGAAGTGATATACGTTATTATATCAGAACTCCCACTCAAAAAGACACTTGAGAAAGGAAGGACATTTGCATATGCTGCATTATTATTGTAGTGACTGCCATAACGACAAACAAGTTAGAGAGGCCATCGCTGAAGAAGTCAAACTCATCAGAAAGTTAAGCGAATACCTGAATTGAGCTTCTCCATTAGCAGCTGCTGTAGATCAACAACTCTTGCTCTTCTGCTTGCACAGAAAGGCCTTTCTGTTCCCCTTTAAATGAAGGCTACCTGAGGCCACGCCTGACACCAAAATATCCGTGAGAAGACAAACCAGGCAAGGAGATGCGGTCCAAGAAACCCAACCGCATTTCACTTTGAAGAACGTGCCCCCTCCAGGAAGCATCAGCAGCTGAGGTGGAGAGCAGCTCTCCACACGCCCCTCCTAGTCACTCTTGCCTGGCTCCACAGAGATGCCCTGCTGCCTGCAGAAACTCATCCCAGGGAAAACCCCAGGGAATGCAAAGCTCTGGACACATGCTTCTCGAGACATTTAACAGCTTTAGGAAAAAAAAAAAAAGGGCAGAAAACTATTCTAATCTGCTGTTCTACAGAGCATGCAGCTTGCTGTCATCCATTTCCTCCTGGCTAAGCTGGCCAACTATCTGTAAGGAGCCGGCAGCTGTGGTTTCTCAGCGCGCCCAGCTCAGCTCTTACACCGCAGGACACGTGAACTCTCATAAGGAGGCAGTAGCCTGTCCAAATAATGCAAATGACACGACTGAGCAATAGCCTCTTCTCCATGCGGGACTGCCCCATTGCCGGCATCTTTGAGCACTTCCGTTTTTCCCACTGACCAACTCTTTAGCTTCTCTAGCTCTAGCAGAACTCTCTCTCTAGCTTCCACAAGGCCTCAGACTCTCACTGCAGTGAACCCAGAGCAAAAGAGAAGGCCCTCAAAGAGAGTTCCTGCTACCGCTGGAGGCTCACAGCTCACCAGCCTCTTTTTCCAAGGAGATTAGATCTCCCCGAGCAACTCAGGTTGCATTTGCAAGTAGGTGAAGTACTGATGAACTCTGAGGAGAGGGCAAAGTCACCCTTCAGCATGCAAACGTCAGTGTCCCTGCCGTACCAGAGATGTATAGGCTCAGCAACGATACACCTCATGGTAATTCCTCTGTCCTACTAGTAGGATACAGGAAAAAAAACAAAACATACACAAATAAAGGGGAAAACGTAAGGTCTCCTCTACTTAGTTCTGTAAAGGCTATTTTAGAACATCTCATCCTCCTTTCAAAAAAAACCTTCCTCTCCCTCCAATCCTATATCCTAAACAGCTTGGTTTAGCCACTGTGTTTATGGATTTAAGGGACAGATATTCAGATATAAAAAGTAATGGCCACATTTTATTTGTCCTATAAAAGGGTTTTTGGAAGTTACAGTAAACCGGTTTTAACCTCCATCAAGGAAGAAAGCTGTATTTTACTAGGCCAAGTTTTGCTGGAGTGTATTTGTGCATGTGTGTGTCTCAGGAAAGTTGTGTCCCTATGAAGAGCACAGCTGGGCTACTACGAGATCTGTTGACAGAATCAGAGCTTTACCAGGTTGTGAGAAGCTGGAAGGTACAGTTGTGTTTACTTTCATAACTTACTAAGATAATATATATCCTTAAAACTCAAAAACATACATTACCCCAGAGTTCCTCTGTAAAGTAACATCCCATCTTATCTTTAAGAGATTGTTTCCTTTTGTTATATTTTAGAACTACAAACATGTAACTGAAAGGAGAAAAGTGTCTTTGCAGTAGAGCACAAAAGGCTTTTATAACTATCATTAAAATTTAACCCAAGTGAAATGAATTTGTTCACTTTTCCTAGCTCAGCATTCCTCGACTCTGCTTCCAAGTTATTTTTTAGTTTCATCTTTGAAATGAACAAGTTGAGTCACCAAAAGTTGTTTAAACTATGCCAAGGGCAACTCCAAGTCACTCCTGTAAATATTAGGATTACAGATAAGAACATGACCAAAAAATACCACGCCTGCACTGTAGGAACAGGAAGCACGTAGTTCTGAGAATAGTGAGGTTAAGAAAAGAAACCCAGAAAAGCCACGATGATGGAGAGGATGCAGAAGGGAAAGCACAGACAAAAACTTGTAATGATATTAGATGCTAGAAGAGAGAGTGATAAAATAAAAACCTCAAGTAGCTGGGGAAGCAGCAGAACACAGAAAAGTAACCATGGGATCAAAGGCACTTTCTGTGGCAGAATTCCAGTTTTGAAACAAATGTCACCAGCAGTTCCATCTGCTCCTGCTGTAACTAGTAAATCATGCTTTTATGTTATGGTCCTGACCTTGTACTAGACCTATTGTACTAGATGCAAAGTCCATTGCTTCTCCCTTCCAAACCTGGCAGTCAAACCCACGCCAGGATGGACAACGGCACGAGGCCACCTGGTTCTCGTTAATGCTCCAGGTAGCTTGGACAGAGGAGGTAAAGTCAGCAGTGAAGCAGCTGTGATCAGATTGCTCCTCACAGGACACGTGTCCTCTCTGCAGGAGCACAAGACAGTCCCAAATGGCAAGTCCCTTCCACACTAGCAATGCATGGAAATGGGAGCTAGATTAACACATCCATGGGATTCTTGTCAGGGATCCAAGACCATCCAGGTAACAACTGAGAAACTGCTGACCACACATCACCTGCTTCAGCAGCCAACACTCCTGAGCCCACTGTGCCTTAAACATGCATGGCTGCAGGAAAGCATCTTCTGCTACTTCAGTTCAGGTTTGCTGCTTGTAGCCCCCCTCTCTTTGCAGCTCAGGAAGGAACACTTTTGGTCTGTAATGTTACATGTCATGTGAAGAAACCCTCCACCAAGACCTAAGTGTAAGCAAGTTTCACAGCAGCTCAGCAATTTCCCCAGGACAGTAGGGGAACACCAAGCAATTCTATCACAGAATAAAGAGGTAATTGTAATTCATGACCTTCCGCAATATTCTTTCAAGCACAGAGGCCTTGTTCATTCACTAGCAGCTCCGAGCTAAGGGCAGGACCTCTGACAGAAACAACCAGATGCTCCTGAGATGACAGTCTTCCAATTGCAACGTGCAAGACCTCAGGGAAAATGCACAGTCTGAATCCAGCAAGGTTTTCCCTCCAAACCCAGCAACAGGCACCTCAAAATACTGCTCTGAAACCAACTGACAAGTTCTGCTGTTAGAAATCTCATCAGATAACCTTGCAGAGTCCTAGAGAAGAAACATCTTCCAACACCTAACTGACCACATGATTAGCAACGCTCCCCCCGACAGGGCTATTGTCCAAAAGGAGATTGTGCTTCATCTCAAACACATGGTTCACGCTAAAGACTAACAATGGCTCCATGACTCACCCGAGCTGAGAAAAGAAAAAAAAAAAATCTTTGCACTTAACTGGGGGCAGGTGTTAATAAAGCTGTCTGCAGCAGCTTCAGACACTACTGTCCCCATCACTGCCCCCTTTTCCCCATCCTGCTTCCCCTTCTGTCTTCCTTTGCACCAGAGGCTACAGCCCACGCAGCTGAATGTGTGTTTGGCTGCCTCCACAAGTTGACCAATAACTTTCCTTGAACAGCTGACAACAGGGAGGTTAAGCTAAGCTGGAAAAGGAACATTTCACTTATCACTACTGCTAAGTCAGTAACTACCAGCTCAGGGCTAAAATAACACACAGAAGATATGTCCACCAAAGCTTATGACCATGTCTAAAGCCTCCTACAAAGGGTATTTATACCACAGTTCTTTCATGAAAGTACAAGGATGTTTTCACATTGCATCTGCCTCAAGCTAAAAACACACCTTGCTATGATTGTTCACCACTTGCCTGCCGACTCACTAAATTTTACAAGCCTTCAGCTAGCCTTAGGGAGATTTTGAGGAAGACGCAGGTTCAGACCATTCCATGTAGATGCCAGACGCTTCATATGTCTTATCAAAATCTCAAGAGAGAGAAGCCTGGCTGAGGATTTTTGGTGGTGCTGAAAAATCAAAATACACAAGTCACTGATTCAAGTCTTTCTGAGAGGAAAATTCAGCTTGCTGGTTAATTGTCTCTGATAGAAAAAAATGTTCACATGGAAGTCTACAAAGCTGAAAGTCCACCCAAGAGCACTGGGTACCTGGTTTAGAAACGTCCTACAAGCGGCCTCAGTAGATCTAAACCCACATTACTACTGCAAGAGGCAATCCTGCCCTCCCTCTCCTTCACACAGCTTCCCCTGGAGGGCCGCTCCAGCAGCCCTGTACCCAACCACATCAGACTGTTTAACCAAACCAAAGCCAGAAAAGGAAGTCCCAGACTACCACTTTCTGCAGCAGTCCAAGCTAAAATCAGTCTGTGCTACTGATGAAACCTTTCCCTGACAAACTCGAGGTACACTGATATGCTCAGTTCACTTTTGAAAGAAGCGTCCAAAGTCTTCTGCGGTAATGACAAAACAGCCGTCAGAATTCTAAGTGCAACACTAAAAACAAAGCAGCTTTCCAAGTGCACAACAAAAGCTTTGTCTTTCAACAAGCTCTCAGCCCCACACTTACCTTTAGACCTGCTCTGTAAAGCACATATATTTTGATCAAGAACTTCTGCAAAAATCTTGCAGAAATTAATTTAGCTGTTCCAAATCGGAAGAAGCCATCAATGATGATCCCTAGCTTCTTTGTTTAGCCCTTATAAAAAGTTTTTTAAAGCCTTGTAGTATACTTGGGCGGATATTTAAAATTAGATGTAGTCACTATCCTTGCACAGCTTGTGGGGAAGATTATCAAAAATGTAAGCTACAGATAAATATTTTTAGTATTTATGATGTGCACGAAGCGTCTTACAACCCGATACTTTTTAACCACAACACTTTCTGTACTTTCCAAGTTCTGAGCTATCATTTCATTACATCAGTCTAACGAGACAGAATGCAGCCCTTCTAGATTTTCTTGAACCTTATTCAACTATGGAAGACAAACAGGGAGGCATCGCTTTAAGCTTGCATAAACTGGGAGTTTATGAGAACTTGATGGCAAGCAATGCATCTGCCCTGCACCTGGGAAGACTGTTTCAACTGCTTGATCCTGTTTGCAAAGATGAATAAGAATGTTTGTGCATTTCTCTCAGCCTCTCTTAGTTAAGGTTTATCCAATTGCTTTAACCAGCTCTCCAAATTCTCCGGCCACACGACTAGCCCTGCGGAAGGGCACACTA